GCCAGGCAAGTCAGAAGGAAGCTGAGGGATGTTTTAACACTTCAAGCCCTTCAGAAGTTCACATTTACACCACTGGAGACTGCAAAGCGCTCACACTGGGACGGGTTTGATATATTTCAATAAGCTAGACATTGATGTCTAAATGCATAATTGTCTGGCCAGTCTATCCATTAATCTCAACGACTAGTTCACGATCCTTACTGTCCTCGTGTTTGTGCTTCGGATTTGTCTTATTCTGATTACAAGGACTTTGTGGGTTTCACCTTCAAATTCAGTCGTAGGAAATCGCTGTTCCTCCTTGAGGTAAATGGGAACTCTGTATACTGGCAGGGAATGGCTTATTTCATCTTTTTTTTTCCTGAGCCAGTCGCTCTCATCCCTTTTTCATTTGAAATCCTGCATCTAGTAATTTCATAATTATGGGAGGGGATTATAACGAAGGCAGCTGGAGCTGCAGGTTAATTGGATTTTTCACCTCAACGGGACCGGATCTGAGTCGCCCATGGGCCGCAAATCTGCACATTTGAAGTTGGGGACAGGACAAAGGAGGCTGGGGGAAGAAAAGAGTAAGCAGTTAAAGGGTCCCCTTTGACTTCAAGAGTATGGGAAGTTACTTTTGTGCTGCCAGTTACTGTTTGTGGTTTCAGAGGTTTTCCTTTGCTTGTACACAATCGCCTTCGTTCACGCTGATGGCATCTATAATTGGCAGTGTTTTCCGTTCACAGGAGTGACTGCTGCAGCAGCTATTGCAGCAGCTATTGATAACCTCAGAGAAATAACCCGAGGGTTTGAAAACGAACTTCTTAAACAAACTTTCAACAAATACATGAATGCATACTACTTGCAAGAACAGTCACACTGTGCTCTGTTTTTGAAAGAAATACCAAATTGACTGGCTTGATCACCGGTGGTGCAGTGGTTAACAGTGTCACAGCAACAAGGTCCTGAGTTTGAATCCACCGGCTGCCTTTGATGTGTGGAAATTACATGTTCTGCCCAAGCCTGCTGGGATTCTCTCCGGTACTCTGGATTCCTCCTGGTGCAAAGACATGCATGTTAGGTGAATTTCTGATTCTAAGTTGGTTCATAGGTATGATTGTGAATGTTTGTCTGCCTCTCTGTCTCAGCCCTGTGATAGACTGGTGACCTGTGCCTCTTGCCCTGTGACAGCAGCAGAGATGGGCAGTAAC